ACTGAGATATTTATTTCATCTCCTCCCCTCCTGCTTCTCTTTTCTGTTTCCTCTCCTCTACATGCCTTTTCCCCCTTCTTCTTCAGCTTCTTAACTACAGATCCTGCTAGAACAAAGTAAGAGTGGATGGCAAAACTTGAGTCACCAAAAGTATAAAGTAAATAATTTAATCTATTCTATTAGAATTCTATAAATCATAAAAGCAATGAGAAAGACATCATATTTATTTAAATATTTCAGTATAATTGTCTTCCTTGAGTCTTCTATATTTTTTTTTCTTGAGTTGGTCTGTGAAAACAGAAATAAAAGTAGAGTGTTCCCTCTCTGAAAAATTCCCATGTGTTCTTGCTTTTATGTAGGAAGCCATTGATTGTTCAGAATATGGGAATGGATCTTGCCCAGAAAATGAAAGATCTCCAGGGGTCCGAGTTGCCATGTATTCATTTATGGCAGGAGCCATTTGCATCACAGTCTTTGGTAACCTGGCCATGATCGTTTCCATTTCCTACTTCAAGCAGCTTCACACACCAACTAACTTCCTCATCCTCTCCATGGCAGTCACTGACTTCCTGTTGGGGTTCACCATCATGCCATATAGTATGGTCAGGTCGGTGGAGAACTGCTGGTATTTTGGGCTTACGTTTTGCAAGATCCACTACAGCTTTGACTTGATGCTTAGCATAACATCCATCTTCCATCTTTGCTCAGTGGCCATTGATAGATTTTATGCCATCTGTCACCCTTTGCACTACTGCACCAAAATGACCATTCCAGTTGTTAAGCGACTACTGCTTGTGTGCTGGTCAGTCCCTGGAGCGTTTGCCTTCGGGGTAGTCTTCTCTGAGGCCTATGCTGATGGTATTGAAGGCTATGATATCTTGGTAGCATGTTCCAGTTCTTGCCCAGTTATGTTCAACAAGCTATGGGGGACTACTTTGTTCGTGGCAGGTTTTTTCACTCCTAGCTCTATGATGGTGGGACTTTATGGCAAAATTTTTGCAGTATCCAAAAAACATGCTCGTGCAATTGATAACTTGCCAGAAAACCAAAATAGTCAAATGAGGAAAGACAAAAAGGCTGCTAAAACTTTAGGGATAGTGATGGGTGTTTTCTTATTGTGTTGGTTTCCCTGTTTTTTCACCATTCTGCTAGATCCCTTTTTGAATTTCTCCACACCTGTAATTTTGTTTGATGCCTTAACGTGGTTTGGTTATTTTAATTCCACATGTAATCCCTTAATCTATGGTTTCTTCTATCCCTGGTTTCGCAGAGCACTGAAGTACATTTTGCTGGGTAAAATTTTCAGCTCACATTTCCATAGTACTAATCTGTTTACTCAAAAGGAAACAGAATAAACTTGATCTGTACCAGTGCATCACAGACTGGAACTAGAAGAGTGAATGTGCTTTAAGGAGCTAATAGGGTCAGAAGACGAGCAAGGAGGGGTCAAGAACATGGCCAGGGCATGGGGCAGGGGTGGTGGTGGAATAAGAACAAAGTAAAATTATATATATACATATATATGTATATAAATATACATATATGTATGTGCATGAATATATGTGTATGAAAACATATAATGTATAACAACTACTGAATAACAAAAGCATAACAAATGAAATATATGTAGAAAATGAGGACTCTGTATAATGAATTTATGCTAATTTAAAAATGAATAATAAAAAATAATAAAGGGTATGACAACAGTTTAAGAGTAATTACTTCTAATTCTCATCACAGCAGGGTGACTTTTGATTAAAACATATACGATAAATATCAAAATGGAAATTATGAATACTTGAAAATGATTCATGGTTGAAGTGATGGAGCTGATTATTATTCTGATTTGATTATAGCATTCTGTGCACACCCCCTCAAGTACCACAATGTACCCTTAAGATGGAAAAATTGCAGAAAAAAAATACAGGAAAAATGGAGTTGCCCAAAGTGAGAGAGAGGGGGAGGAGGGAAGGAGGGAGAAAGGGAGAGAGAGAGAGGGAGAGAGAGAGAGAGAGAGAGAGAGAGAGAGAGAGCGAGAGAGACTTTGGCTAGCATAAAGGGTACTTGGTGTCCAGTATTTAAGGGGAAAAAAAGAGAAACCCTCTTTGTGACCCAAATTCTATCTAATCTTTACATAGCACTAGTTGGGAGGAGAGAAGAAATATTAGGAAAGGAAATAGAAGATGAAGAAAAATTCAGGAACAAAAAGAATATGCAAACACTTTTTGAAAAAAGGATTTAATTTTATGTGTATAGGTGTTTTGTTTATATCTATGTATGTGTCATGTGCATGCAGTGCCCGTGGAGCTCAGAAGAGGTCCTCCCTGAGCACCTCTAGCCCCGCCACTTTCTTTTCTGTCCAGGAGGATCAGAATGCATCTGAACTTGAGAATTGCTCCTTCCTGTCACCACCATACATTTTGTGTGACATCTTCATTTAATGTTTCTTTCTCAGTGTCTAAGTGTAGCTCTCAGAGTTTTGGAATATGAACAATTAAAAACTATTGGTAACTGAATGACATCAAGAACCCACATTCTGGCAGAAAGCATCAATTTAGTAGCCGACTTTTACTAGACTGACTAATGTTACTGTGGTGACATTAAATGCATTTTTTAAATGAAGAATTGGAGGGCTGATGAGATGGCTCAGCGGATGAAGGTACTTGTGACAAAGTCTAAGTTCAATCCCCAAGATCCACATGGGAAGGAGAGAACCAGACCTTGCATAAAATTGTCCTTTGACTTCAATGCATGAGAGAATAAAAGAAGAGAAAACCCCTAACAGTGGCACAATGCAGCTCAGCCATGGCAACTGCGTATCTTTCACTTCCAGTAGTTCTCTCTTCAGTGACTTTCATTCTTAGGCTTATGAGTAGCTTGTATTGTATTGTATGTGATGATTAATAAATGCAAAACCAAATACATTGTGTTTTGATCTATCATTGTTTGACCAACATCTGTATTTACTGAGTATTGGAGTAGAAAGAGGGAGGAAAGAAAAAAACCTTCAGTATGTAAAGGAAAGGTTGGGTATTAGTGACTTTATATTTGGCATTTCCTGCCTTTTCCTGACTTCATGTTGGGACTCATTAATGGTGAGTTATAGTCTGTGTGTTGTGCCAGCAACATGTGCTGGCAAATGTTTCCGCTCCTCAGGAGGAAAATGTAATGTGAAATTTGGTACTTTCTGTGTCATATAAACAATGGCTCCCCTTGTCGTGCCTATCTCGACCAGCAAGAAGGACACGACCACGACTCTTCTTCAAGCAGTTTATTCAGGAACCTTGTACATCAGCTTCTCCTTCTACTTCTACCTCAGCTTCTCTCTCTGCTTCTTCTATATCTCCCAACCCCTCTGGCAAGCCCTTAAAAGCAAGCTCATTCCCCAATTAGCTCAGGCCACTTGGCGATCCCGGATAGGTCACAGCTGGAGGAGGCACACCAGATCCACTAAGCGCTTCCAAATAAGGCTTGTTTACAGCTAAGCTCCGTCTCCCTGGCATCCAGCCAGGCGCCATCTTGGGGCTGTGGCTCCCCACAGCTCCCTAATAAACTTATATCTGATTTTAAGGTATGAATGTATGCCAATATTACTGAAAACTTAATCATCCATTCGTTCAAGTGGGCCCCGGTGATCTTAGTAAGCTGTAAGCAACTGCCTCAATGAAAAGCCAATCAGAAGAAAATAGATATTAAAATCCTTCACTGAATTTAAAGCACTGTCATACACAATTTTAATATCAGACATGTCTGTGTTTATGTGGGTTTTAACATAGGTATGTGAATCCTGCAATGTGAAATATTATTTAAATTATTTGTAGCACAGCATGAAAAAATTGACATTAAAATAATAATCAACAAGTTTGCTTTGACCTTAGCTCATCACAGAGATTAAGATGAAGTAATGGCTATTAAGTAGTCAGATTAAATATTAATCTTGCTCAAAGGCAGCTCAAAGATGGCCCTGTCACTTTTCTTTAGACCTGGAGTTGCCTCCCAATCTGCACTGTCCTTCTGATAAGTTCGATACTCACAGCCTGAAGTGAGGAAGCGGCATGGTCAAAAAGACTAAAAATAAAATAAAATAAAAATGAAAGAAAATTTCCAAAAATAAACTTATGTAATCCAGGTACAGTTTTGGTAATCAATCTACTATATTAGAGCACAAGATGATTTAGTCATTTTGTTTTCATCTTTGTTATTCTTTGACAGTTTCACATACAAATATATATTTGTTCATTTCATCACCTATTACACCCATTCCTCCCACTACCAATGAAGCCTTCTTCCCAGCAAATGTTCCTCTATTTTACTGTTTTTTGGGCTTGTTAATTTGATCCCTCCTCCCCCCTTTTTCTGTGGTGTGTGCTACCTACTGGGTTTAATTAGGGTCACTTGCAAATGCATGGTTGTGAAGTTATTTACTGGAGCACAAACAACTTAGTAGTTTCTACAACATAGAAGAAAATGGTTACCACCTCCCCCAGTAACCATCAGCCATTTTGTCTCCTCAGGGATGGTTAGGACCTCATCTCTTGATCATTTTTAAAATGAAATGTTCTGATATATTCTCCTTTCTCTCTCCCCTCACCCCCAAGTACTTTAACCAAATTGGTAAACATCGCTCAAGAAAAACAAATAACTCCTTCCCTCACCAGCATCTTCTCAGTCAGACTGAAAACAGAAACTTTTCACGATTAAGACAATTACTCTTCTAGGGGTTAGGAGATGGCTCAGATGGTAACCTGCCTGCTATGCATGAAGACCTGTGTTCATAGCCCCAGTACCCACTCACACAGAAGGGTGAGCATGGTGGCACACACTGTAATCTCAAGGTGAGGGAGGTGAAGACAGGAGGCTCCCCAGAGATTGCTGGCAAGCCAGTCTAGCTAACTCAGTGAGCTCCAGATTCAATGAAAGATGTCCATTCACTGACCTAAATAAAAGATGAAAAAAAATTTCATTCTAAAAAAAAGACATTTACTCTTTGTTTCTATCCTAGGTCTCTGGGCTACCCAGCCTCTGGGTCCTGCTCTTCCAGGTAATATCAGGGGTGGGCTCCCTCTCAAATTGGGTCTTAAATTGGACCAGTCATTAGTTGGCCATTCCCATAATTTCTGTGCCACCTTTACCCCAGCATATCTTGTAGGCAGGGTAAATTGTAGGTCAAAGTTTATGTGGCTGGGTTGGGACCCCAATCCTTCCATTGGAAGTATTACCTGGTCACAGGAGATGGCCAGTTCAGTCTCTGTATTTCCTGTTATCAGGAGTCTTAGCAAGGATCACTCTCATAGATTCCTGGGAGTTTCTATTGCACTAGGTTTCTAGCTCATTCCAAAGATGCCCCTGATTCCAGTTGTCTTTCCCACTACTCTGTCCTTCCATCCTTCCCCCATCTGATCCCCCCTTTTCCCCCAGACCCAGCGTCCTCCCAGTCCACCTGTGATGTCTTTTCCATTCCCCTTTACAGTGAGATTCATGTCCCCACTCCACCCCCAGACCACCTTGTTACTTAGCTTCTTTGGATCTGAGGATTGTAGTATGGTTATCCTTTACTTTATGGCTAATAGCCACTTATAATAGAGTACACACCATGCTTGTCTTTCTGGGTCTGGGTTACTTCACTCAGGATGATCTTTTCTTGTTCTGTCCATTTGCTGACAAATTCCATGATGTCATTGTTTTTAACAAATGAGAAATAAATATTCCATTGTGTAAATGTAGCACATTTTATTTGCCCATTCTTCAAATGATGGACATCTAGGTTGTTTCCAGTTTCTGGTTATTATGAGTAAAGCTGCTATCAACATGGTTGAGCAAGTGTCTTTGTGATATGGTGGAGTTTCCTTTGGGTATATACCCAGGAGTGATATAGCTAGGTTTTGAGGTAACTGCCATATTTATTTCCAAAGTGGCAAAAAAATTCCTAATGATATTCTGCTATATTCATAGATCATTGCCAGAGAGGCTTCAACTCAGCAACTGATGGAAACAGATACAGAGACCCACAGTCAAACATTAGGTGGACCTTGAAGAATCCTATAGGAGAAGGGGAGGAAGGATTATGGTAGCCAGAGGGGCCAAGAACACCACAAGAAAACTCACAGAGCAACTATCCTGAGCTCCTAGGGGCTCATAGAAACTGAACCACCAACCGGAAAGCTTGCATGAGATTGACCTAGGCCCTCTGCACATATGCTGTGTGGCTTGGTCTTTTTTGTGGGATTCCTAACAGTGGGAGCAGGGGCTTTCTCTGACTCTGCTACTTGCTTTTTGAGACCCTTTCTTCCTATTTGTTTGCTTCATCCAGACTCAGTAGAAGAGGTGCCAAGTCTTAACTGCAGCTTGATGTGCCATGGCTGGCTGACACACATAGGAGCCCTTTTCTGAAGAGAAAGGAGGAGGAGGTGTGGATGAAGGGTGGGAGAGGGGAGGTTGGGGGGAAGGGACTGGGAGGAGAGGAGGGAGGGAGGAGAAACCGTGATTGGGCTGGGGAAAACAAACAAACAAACAGACAAATAAATAATAAAAGACAATTATTCTTGCCTTGAATATAAACCAATATTTAGTTTATTTTCACTTTTCCATGTATTTTTAGTATATGGCGATTTGGGTACATTCTCCCTCTAGAATGAAATTATTGTCCTTCATTTGGAAAAAAGAAAATGAAATTTGCTGGGACACTGAAATACACAGACTATTATAATACCCTCAAGGGAAGAAAGTTAAATGGCAATTACACTGGGGATCTACAGTGAAGACTCTCCCTGCATCCTGGATCTGCCTCCTCCACTGCGGCCCTCTTGAGAACAGAGAGAATCCTATATATGCAGGTATGTTAATTCTCTGCACCGAACTTTCCAGAACTTCCTGCATCACTCCCACCAAGCCACCAGAAGAAATCATGAGGCAAAGCTAACATTCTAAAAAACCCAAGGTACTGGATCATAAAAAGAATTGGAAGCACACTGACCATTTTCATTAGTACGGATGTTCAGGGATTAGAATGCGTTACACACAGATTATAACGGAAAAGGTAGGGTTTTCCCTTTCTAACTGGAAGGTAATTAATATGATATTCCTGTGAAAGGCTTTAATGCTTCCATCACAATTTGTTTGGTAGGGTTCACAAGTTTCTATGTGACATAGAAAATGTTTTTACTAACTTAAAAAGTTATATAAGGCATGATTCAATAATTGTAAGGTATTTCAATAATGTTAAGATGCATTTTCTTCTTTGGCATTTTATCTTAACAAAAATAACATGTAATATTCAAGTCAGTTCCAAGTGTCATGCATTATTTTAATATATTCCCCTGCAAGCAGCATTTAAGATTTTCTGTTGCTCCTGGCTTGTGAAAACTGCTACTCCATTCCAAATGGATATGCCTACACTGGATATGCCAGATCTCTATGATCGAAAAGAGTTCTTGTCCAGTTCAGTGATTGTACAAATAGCATGAAAACATTATAAAGATGTCTTTGGGGGAATGGTCTGATTTTTCATTTCAAGCCCATTTCCAGGAAATGAGAACAGGGCTGGCCCACAGATTAGTTTTATTAGGACAGGCTGAGGCCATAAATACTTTTGCTGCCCAGATAAATCAGTAATGAATTGCAGACAGAAAGGGATAAGGGAGGTTCACTGGAAAAGGGGTCAGGAGAGCTCTATTGTAATACTGGTCCCAGTGTGCAGTTGCAGTGGCCACTTCAAGATCTGAGGTATATCATATACATGGAACATCTGGGACCATGTAGTGAAACAAGCATATGTTTGGCATACTGGGTGTAATAGTTTGTGTGTGTTATCTCAGCATCAGGGAGACGGAAGAAGGAGGGCTTCCATGGGTACCTGCAACCAGGCAGGCCTTGGTTGCAGAGTGAGATCCTGTCTCAAAAAGCAAAACAGAATAATATAAAAGAAGACAGATTTGGAGCAGGTAGTTTTGAAACTTTTAGATAGCCAAAATTTTTACTGTTTTTTGAGTTTTGCTTGTGTTTGAGGATGGGCAGGAAGAAAGGGTTTGTTTGCTATTTTCTAAACAGTGTTTCCTGTTTTCTAATTATCTTAATATTTTCAAAGACAGATTAAAGAATTCCATGGGATAGAGTGCTTTCCTAATTAGGTTTTGACAATGTGTTGGATCTAACTTCTGACTATTTAATAAGTGATTCCTGCCCTAGAGATATCTTTGTTTTGCGTCATCCGGGTTAGCAAATAAATGGATTGCTATCTCACTTCTCTAGAAACCTATATTAAGACAGGGCACAATGCTAGAAGGAAAAGAGTCAGAATAACTAGACACTCACCACTTCACCGCTCTCTAATTTCTCTGGTTATATCAATAATTTTGTAAGATTAATTCCAACTGAGGAAGGTTTTTTGTTTTTTTAAATAGCTTCTGACCCCTGCTTTTCGTTCCAGCACTTAGGAGGTAGAAGGATCTTTGAGTTCAATGGCAGCCTGGTCTACATAGACAGTTTCAGGGGAGTCAGGGCTACACAGAGAAACCCCGACTTGAAAACAAAGAAACAAATAAATAAATAAACACATAGGCTTCTGGAAGACAGCATCATTTGTGTTGAGTTCTAAATATCACAGCAGATGGGCCTGGGTATTGAACAGAAGGAAGGGAACTGCTCAGACATAGAGTATAGATTTTCTTCTTCCTTCCTTCCTTCCTTCCTTCCTTCCTTCCTTCCTTCCTTCCTTCCTTCCTTCCTTCCTTCTTTTCTTCCTTCCTTCCTTCCTTCCTTCCTTCCTTCCTTCCTTCCTTCCTTCCTTCCTTCCTCCCTCCCTCCCTCTCTCCCTCCCTCCCTCCCTTCCTTGAGTGGGGGTGTTGAGACAAGGTTTCTCTGTGTAACAGTCTTGGCTGTCCTGGAACAAGCTCTGTAGACCAGGCTGGTTTCAAACTCACAGATATTTGCTGTCTCTGCCTCCTGAGTGCTGGAATTAAAGGCATGCACCACCATTGCCCAGCTAGAGCAGACATTTTTAAGACAGTGTGGACCATTATTAAAGGTTCAGTGTGGGGGACTGAGGGGAGGAGAGCCCACATTGGAAGGTCCATAGAAACAGATGTTGAAATATATACCTGATATACCTGCAGGGCCACAGATTGACCTGCCAGTCAAGGTGTGTTTCCGACTCTCCCCTTCATCCACCGAAAAAGGTAAGTGTGTCCTTCGAAAGATATGTTTCAAAAGATTCCTTGTTTCCCACTCCATGTCTAGCACATTCTCCCATACTTAGATCTAGTAGATAATTTCTGTCTTAACATTTTTCAAATAAAGCAAAATTAATGCAAATTATAAGAAAAACTCACTACAATTCTCATTTACCTCTTGCCCTGCTCTAAGGAATTGCTCTGCCCATCCTTTGTAAACCTTGTCCAAAAATACTTTGCCTGTTCCTACCTGCTTTTCAAAAAAATTTTCAGAAAATACATCCCTGTCCATTGTCAACATACAAGGCCTGTTTATGAACTGGGAATTGTCACTGTTTTTTATTTTTGATGTTGTGAGTATAAACCCCATACATAATTACAAAGTAAATTTATAGGAGAAATGTTTCCTTTTTCCCCATCTTAGTTTTCAGTGTGACACTTGAATATGATCAACTTACTGCCAGTCCTGAAATGATTTCCAAACAGTGTTTTCAATTTCAGTCTTAAATGTTGACAGCAGAGAATGAAACAAACAATATCTAGACACAAATCTTAATAAATATGTTTGTCTTTCCCAGTGTATTTTGTTATTTATATTTTACAATAAAGTCTACCTGATTAAATTACTCATGAAGTTATACTGTCAACCTGCTGCTTTTATCTTAGCATGCTTAACAGAAATCAACACAAATCTCTTGAGACAAAATTATCTTTTAGACTCAGAGCGATTTGGAGTCTCTAAAAACAGAATTTAAATCTGAGAATTTGTGCTTAAAGATACTTACTCATTTGTCTGTATATTTGTTTGTTTTTGAACTGTTTTTGTCGGGAACTCACCATGTAGGTTTGAGATCCTGGCTATCTTCCTGCCTCAGCCTGTGGAGTGCTGGAGTGAGCCACCACTTTATACTTTTAGGTGATTTTTTAATGGGTTATATAAAACTCAGCATTATTTTCTAACCTGTGGACCTAGAAATAAACAGAGAATTATAGTTAGTGTTAGTTCTAGGTCCTAAAATTGGAGAATTGGTTAAGAGAATAGCAGTGTCTGTATTGTATTATTCAGTGACATGTACAAACATTTATTTTCTGTGTTAGAATTTTGTATCACAATTTTTATTTTAAACATAGCTTACAATGCTTTCATTTTTAAGGCTTAGGAAGTTGGTTTATGCAGCTAACGTGCAGTGTGATGTCCCTATGTCTCCTACTGAAATGAAGGTGTCCATCAAATTTCCAGTAGATTTTAATTGCATAATAACATCTTGCATTACATTTCTGACACAATCCACAGCTTCAGACAAGCTAAGTAACAGGACGGACCCTAACAGGGATGCACTGATTGCTCTGGCCAGGGGAAATAGATGAGCTCTCCTGGGCAAACTGGGAGCGAGGGTGGGGGTGGTAGAGGGAAGGAGATGGGGAATGAGGACATGAGCAATGGGGTGGTCTGAGTTGGGAGAGGAACGGAGCGGGAGAGCAATGAAAGAGACATCTCGATAGGTGGGGAGGAGCCATTATGGGGTTAGGGAAATTGTCAGGAATCCACAAGGATGACCCCAGATAAAATTCCTAGCAATAGTGGAGAGGGTGCCTGAACTGGCCTTTCCCTGTAATCAGATTGGTGACCACCCTAACTGTCATCATAGAACCTTCATCCAGTAACTAATGGAAGCAGATGGAGAAATCCACAGCCAAGCACCAGGCCAAGCTCAGGGAGTCCAGTTGAAGAAAGGGAGGAGATATTGTATGAGCAAGGAGGGTCAAGACCATGACAGAGAAACCCACAGAGACAACTGACCTGAACTCCTGGGAACTCATGGACTCCAGAACAACAGCTGAGGAGTTTGCATGGAACAGAACTAGGCCCTCTGCATGTGGGCAACAGTTGTGTAGCTTGGTCTGTTTGAGGGGCCCCTGGCAGCGGGACCATGGTCTATCACTGGTGCCTGAGCTGGCTTCTTGGAGCCCATTCTTTGTGGTGGGAAGCCTTGCTCAGCTTTGATGTGGGGGGTGTCCCCCCCCCCAGGCTTGGTCCTGCCTCAACTTAATGTGCTAGGCTTTGGTGACTCCCCATGGGAGGCCTTACCCTTTCAGAGGAGTGGAAGGGGGGTGGGCTGGGGAGGTGATAGGGGGGAAGCAGATGAAGGGGGAACCGTGGTTGGTGTGTAAAATGAATAAAAAATTTTAAAATGAAAACAACATTAAAAAAAGAATCAGGGTCTTGGTGCTATTTGAGTAAGCGGCCTCATTAGCCTTCATTTAGTTATGCAGAGACTGTCAAATGGATACCTGTTTTCAACCAAGCTCAGAATCTGCTCCAAAGCTCATTAATAAACATTTTTGAGAACTAAAAAAAAAAGATTGTACATATTAAGTATTTTGATGGTGAAAGATATGTAAGGTTCAAGTTCCTGCTAATGAAGTTGCTTATGATAAAAGTCAACCAAAAATATTGGAAATCTTCCAGTTCATTACAGGAATAAAACAGTGTATAAGGAAACACATGATGAGTGAAGGGAGAAATGGTGGACAAGAATAAAAAGATCAACACAGGGGCTGGGCGGTGGTGGCACACGCGTTTAATCCCAGCACTCGGGAGGCAGAGGCAGTCGGATCTCTGTGAGTTCAAGACCAGCCTGGTCTACAAGAGCTAGTTCTTCCAAGACAGCAAAAAAAAAACAAAAACAAAAACAAACAAACAAAACAAAACAAACAAAAAACCCCAAAAAACAAACAAACAAAAAACCAACAACAAAAAAACAGGGAAACTGAAGTTTTTTTATTTTTCTGATGTGGCAACTAACTCAGAAAATAAACACAGGAGATAAAATTTTAGAATTTTGAATGATACTTGAGTGAATCAATGACTTTGAACATTGCTGTACTCATGGCAGGTGAAGTTCATTGTGATCATTTGAAGAAAAGAAAGCCTGACTTCCTCTTGGACAGGCATTCGAAGGATAAAGCACCATGGATCTAATAGACATTCCTGAAGACCTATCCAGCTGCCCAAAATTTGGTAATAAATCCTGTCCTCCCACCAACCGCTCTTTCCGTGTCCGTGTGATAATGTATTCCTTCATGACCGGAGCCATGGTTATCACCATCTTCGGAAACTTGGTGATAATGATTTCCATATCACATTTCAAACAGCTCCACTCTCCTACCAACTTCCTGATCCTCTCCATGGCAACCACGGACTTCCTGCTGGGTTTTGTCATCATGCCTTATAGCATGGTGAGATCAGTGGAGAGCTGCTGGTATTTCGGGGACAGCTTTTGCAAATTCCACGCAAGCTTCGACATGATGCTAAGCCTGACCTCCATATTCCACCTGTGCTCCATTGCTATCGACCGATTTTATGCTGTATGTTATCCTTTGCACTACACGACCACCATGACGGTGTCCATGATCAAGAGACTGTTGGCTTTTTGCTGGGCGGCCCCTGCTTTTTTTTCTTTTGGCTTAGTTCTATCAGAGGCCAATGTTTCCGGTGTGCAGAGCTACGAGATTCTTGTCACTTGCTTCAACTTCTGTGCACTTACGTTCAACAAATTTTGGGGGACAATACTGTTCACTACCTGCTTCTTCACTCCTGGCTCCATCATGGTTGGTATTTATGGTAAAATTTTTATTGTTTCCAAACGACATGCTCGAGCCCTCAGCAGTATGCCTGAGAACACAAAAGGAGAAGTAAGAAAAAACGTGTCTAAGAAAAAGGATAGGAAAGCAGCTAAGACCCTGGGCATCGTCATGGGGGTATTTTTAGCATGTTGGTTGCCTTGCTTTCTGGCTGTTTTGATTGATCCGTATTTAGACTACTCCACGCCCATCATAGTGCTTGATCTTCTGGTATGGCTTGGGTACTTCAACTCTACTTGCAACCCCCTCATCCATGGCTTTTTCTACCCATGGTTTCGCAAAGCTCTTGAGCAAATACTGTCAGGAAAAATATTTCGTTCCAATTCAGAAATGGCAAATCTCTTTCCTGAAGTACATTAAGAAAAAAAAAACCACTGTGAATATGAATTGAATACAGAAAGTGACACTATTTTGATCCTTACAAGTCCAGGTGTGGTAGTTTGAATGAGAATGCTCCTATTGGCCCATATGTTTGACTACTTCTTCCCCTGTTGGTGCAACCATTTTGGAAGGATTAAGAGGTGTGGCCTTGCAGGGGAAGTGCCACTGGGGGTGGGCTTTGAGGTTTCAATAGGCCAGCCATTCTCAGATCTTTCTGTCTCTGTCTAGAGCTTATGCATAGAGATGGAAGCTCTCAGCAACGGCTCCAGTGGCATGTCTGCCTGCCCACTGCCATGCTGACCCTCTGAAATTGTACACTCCCAACAAACTGTTTCTTCTATAAGATGCCTGTGTCATGGTGTCTCTTCACAGTAATAGAACAGTAACTAAGACACGAGGTCACTGCAAACACTGGTCTACCTGTGACAGTTCAGCAAGTGCAGTTCTGTAAGCTGCCAAGAGCTCCTTCAAATAGCTTCAACTGCTTAATCGACACATTCACTGTAAAGTCTGCAGCCAGTACAGTTAACTCTGACTGCTAAAAACAATAAAAAACTGTATAGAAGAAGTATGAAGTGTGACATGGAATAAATTCATACCCACAAGACAAAGACTGCCTTGAGAATAGAGAATTTAAAGTGCTAACAGGTTTGGAGTCTGTCTAATTGGGCTTTAGGAATTCAAGGAAAGAGCCAATGATTTTTCTGAGCTTTTAGTGAACTGCTTTGTTTGACCTTAAAACACCTTGTGAGCTTAACTGTTATGAAAATATGTTTCGTTTTTGTTTTCAGGACTGCAACTATTGAAAATATCAAAATTAATAAAACTAGGGCTGGGAGATAGCTCAGTGTAAATACCTGACAATCTGAGTTTGAGTCCCTAGGGCCCAAGTAAAATCCACATGGCATGGCTTTCTTGTAGGAAGTGGGAGACAGAGAGACAGGAGAATCTCTGAGAGCTAAAGGGTCACCGGCCCAAAGAGACCCATTTCATTTGTGTCCTCCTGGGGGTATGCTGAGAATCAAATCAATCAGGGCTTCTGTGT